AAAAGCATTTATCCTGAACTACGATGCATAGTTGCCAGATCTTCAATTTTCCTCTAACTTCGGGAATATAGTTCACTTGCACATTTTTACCTTTTACACGTCGGGATTGCTGGGTGCTTTTCCGTTTAATTTTTTCTGTTGTATTGGCAAGCCCGCTACTGTAAATTATTATACACTTATTATCAGTACTTGTTTCATGAAAAATAAAAGAAAATGAACGTGAAACACACGTTGTAGTTGCCTGAGTACCTATAGTTAGTAAGGCTGTTCACGTTGTTATATAATAATATTAATAATACTTGATAAGTCATTAGGTAAAACTGATTTGTTGTTAGTTGTACACCATCATGCAACGTTATTGTGAAAAAATGAAAGGACTTAATAAAAATATATACGGTTTAGATGTTTTCTTTGTGCAAATACAAGGTGATGGAATGCATAACTCGGAAGTTTGGGAAATAATTGTAAAGTCTGGTTTTATCTCTGCAAGTTGTTTAAGGGGCTATTCGAAACATGGACGCATAAAATGGGTACACCAATTTTTGTGGGAAAACTTTTTATTCGACAACAAATAATGAGAATACGTGTTTTTTGGGATTCAATCGAAAGTGTTGACAGGAACAAAAAGCTCTTTATACATATACTAAGTGACATATAAATCCGAACACCCAGTTTAAATGGTTTTATTTTAATAAAAGTTGGTGAATCTATCTATCTTACTGTAAATAACAAGTGAAAAAATGTTCAGCCTTATCAGTTGGAGATTCCGGTTTTTATACTGCTTTTTTTTAATTCACTAACGCTCTAAAAATGAATATTTCAGCCGCAGTAAAGAATCAACGTTGGCGGATTTTGGTTCTTGACATCCTTTACGATCGGTTATGATGCCTAAAAAGCTGGACTTTCTTTTCTCACTGTGGTTAGGTGTTGCCAGGCATGGCTTCGAGAAGGCCGTACGCAAAGAGCAAGGGGCACTGGACGCTGCCGTAGAACAACAGACCGTGAAGATCGCCGCCTAAGATTATTGGCCTTAAGGGACCGTTTCTCCACTACCAGGTCCATTACAAATGAATGGTTTGCAGAACACGGAAGACCTATTGGCATGCGAAGTGTTTACCGACGAATGAGAAGTTTTGGCTTGTTTTCATTTCGGCCACACTGGGTCCTCCCTTTAACTCGAGAACACCGACGTAATCGCCTTGAGTGGTGCAGACAACGGTCACTCTGGGATCAGGAATGGAACAGTATTGTCTTTATTGACGAGTCTCGCTTTTGTTTAGGCATGCACGATGGTCGTGCCAGGGTTAGAAGGCGACGTGGTGAAAGGAGGAATCCACAGTTTTTTGTTGAAAGACATGTTAATCACACTGTTGGAGTTGTGGTTTGGGGTGCTATAGCTTATGGTTCCAGGTCACCTTTAATCTTCATCAGAGGTAACATGAACGCGCAGAGTTATAACCACGAAGTTCTAGAACCCCATCTTTTACCCTATCTTGACACCCTGGCAGATCCAACTTTCCAACAAGATAATGCCCGACCACATGTTGCAAGAGTCACAATAGACTTCTTTCAACATAATGGTCACATTGTTACCATGACCACCAAGATCTCCCGACTTATCCCCAATTGAGCACGTGTGGGATATGATGGGTAGGAGATTGCTCAATTTGCAACGTCCTCCTCAGACTCTAGAAGCACTTCGAGAGGAGTTGGTGGTTGCCTGGAATGAGATACCACAGGAGGACATTGACCACCTGATCAGAAGCATGCCTAGGCGCGTTGGAGAATGCGTAGCACATCAGGGTGCATCCACACATTATTAAAGGTCAAAGGGCTTTAAAGCAGTGCAATCATTTTGAAATTTTTATCATTTACTTATTATGCTTCATTAAGTAATTATACAAAATTTTATTAAAATAAAACCATTTAAACTGGGTGTTCGGATTTATATGTCTCTTAGTATATAATAATAATAATAACAAAATGCCTTTTATTTTCCTGGTGAGGATTAAGCTAGCAGCTGTTCTTACTCCCTAACCAGTGCAGCAATTACTTACAAGCACCTTTAGAATAAAATTTAATAATTTATAAGAGTGTTAGAAAAAAAACAACCAGAGTCTGTTCACAGTTATATAGATAGGCCGTTTCTCAATATGAGCTCCTTGATTTGTCCTTTAAATCTACTAAGTGGTAGCTGCCTGACTGAAATCGGTAGTTTATTATACAATGCAGGTCCTATATAAGAAAACGATTTTTTAAAAGATGTATCGTGAGCAGGAATATCCAGTGTATGATTGACAAATCTAAGATTGGTATTATGATATTGATTACGCATAGATAATTTATCTTTTAAGTAGGCATTACAAAGTACAACTTGCATAGGTAATATTTTGACAAATTTAGACGAGTCTGAATATACAGTTTCTGTAACAGATCCCTGCCTCTCAGACCACTATGCCCAAAGTATGCTTGTACATTTAAATTCTATTAAAAAAGAAAATATTGTTCATACTAGGAAAAGCACAAACGCTAGCCTAAATCATTTAAATCTCTCGTTATCCAACATAGATTGGACAAAATATTATGTCAATCATGATGTGATTAGTCTGTCTTCTTTTCTCGTAGAATCAATAAATGAACTTAAAGATTTATATTTTCCATTACAAAAGCAAAAGCAACATTTTCAGAGACAGCCAGTAAAATGGTTTAATAGTGAACTTAAGACTGCTAGGTCCTCTGTTCAGGTGTTAAAAACAATATCGGAGCATCAAAAAGACGAACAGTCAAAAAATGCCTTTAAAACCTTTCAGAGACAATACAGACAAAAAATTAGACATGCTAAATATAGTGCATATAATAATTTTATTCGTTCATCAAAAAATAAAAGTAGGGACTGTTGGAGGCTAGTAAATTTTGAAAGAGATAAATCCAAACCAATGACAAACTGATATCACATCAGACATGTTTAACGACTTTTTTGTAACCGCAGCCAAAAATATAATAAAAAGCTTACCTAATCTTAATATTAATGAGCTAAATACCATAAATTTTAATAAGTGTAATAAAACCTTTTTTCTGGAGCCTGTTACATATCTAGATGTTTTGAATGCTATTGGTGAATTAAAAAATACACCACTTGCTCATTTATATATCTGTCTTCCCTGATGTTTTTAAGATTAGTAAGGTAGTACCAGTTTTTAAAAAAGGTGACCTATCTGATGTAAATAATTTTAGACCCATTTCCATAATTCCTATCTTTGGCAAAATTTTAGAAATAATTTTAAAGCACCGCCTTTTAAAATTTTTAAAAATAAATAACATCATTAATCCAAAACAATTTGGTTTTCAGCCAGGTCTGTCAACCATAAATGCACTACAGGAACTTATTGACCACATAGTCCAGGGCCTTGAACTGGGAAGAAGTGTACAAATTACCCTTTGTGACCTTAGCAAGGCCTTTGACTGTGTGGATCATGAGAAGCTGCTGTGTTAAATGGAGCATTATTATGGTTTTCGTGGGGTGTCTCTTTGCTTTTTTAGATCATATCTGACTGAAAGATCTCAGCTTGTTAGTAGTAATAATAAACATTCAGAAATTAAAGGTGTAAAGTATGGTGTCCCTCAGGGATCCATACTTGGACCAATACTTTTTTCCCTTTACATTAATGATCTTTATTACTACTTATTACCAGATATTTGTGTATTGTACGCAGATGACACCACCCTCATAAAGAGTCACAAAAACCTTCATATAATACAAAGCTTATCTAAACAGCTTGAAGAAAAGGCAAACAACTGGTTTAAACAGAATAGCTTATGCCTAAACTCAGACAAAACTAACAGGCTAGTAGTAACTAGTAACTCTTCTCTCGCAGAAAACAAATATGTAAAATTACTTGGCATAACAATTGATAGCTCACTAAAATGGACAAAGCACATTGAAACCCTATGTAGCAAATTAGCCACAAACATATTCTTACTACGCAGACTAAAAACTTGTCTTAGTAATGAATGCCTTGTTAGTGTTTATTACTCCCTCATCGTCTCTCACATCCAATATGGCTTATTAATCTGGGGAAATTCTACCCATATAAATAGAGTCTTCATATTACAAAAAAAAGCAATTAGAATTCTATTCTATTCATGCGAAACTAACAAAGCTTCAAAACCCAAGATTAGCTCTTTTCACTAGGGCAAGTTTGTTAAAATCGGCTGAGATGTTGTTTGGAAGATATAGGACGTTTTCTACGGAAGCCTTTGAATACCTCCACCTCTTTATTTTTAGAGATACGATTACAGCAAAAATTGTCAAACAAAAAAGTTCCCATTTTTCTCAACTTTAAGGATCAGGTATTTTTTTGTTAGGTCAATATAACGGAATTCACAGAAACACCACTTTTTTAGATTCAAGGTTGCAGTTACGCCCTCTAATGGGCACTTCAGAAACTCGGTTTTTTATTGGTCGTTTTAGAAAGAACTTTTTGTGCCGCAAGCCTCTACGACGGATAGGTTCCTCACATTCTTAGTTGGCCACCCTGTACATTACGGATATTTTCCCACTCTTTTCGGGTTTTCAACAAGTACTTTTGACTGCTTATAATAATGATCCTTTGAGATTTTCCATGAGAAAATGCTTAAGAAAGTAGATACTTTAAACTTCAAACATCATGGACCTATAAACGAAAAAACTTTCCTTCAAATTTTGTCCCCGAAAAATGCCATACATGATTAATAACAAATGCATCCACATACTTGAATGTTCGACCAACTGCAGGTGAGTCACTAACGCAAAATTGTATCTACATGTCAATATTCAAAACATCTTCCAAAATGTTTTCTTTACCAAACCCTGGCGTCTTTTCAACAATTACAACAAATATGATTAAAACATAAACAATTTCACTAACCCAGATCGTTTCAATGTCAATGATGTTTGTTTTCATTCGCATGTCAAAACATTGCGAAAACTTGATGTGATCCTCAATTTTTGCTTACCAGACGTTTTTGGGCTATCGCCGTCACATGTTGACGCCTTAAAGAAAATTATCTTGTCTCCAAATGTACCACAGTATGTGCTTTTGAGAGGATAGAAAAAATTTCAAAATGTTGGAACGGCGAATAGCAGTTTTGGCAATTTTCGCTTCGTTTTTGGGGGCAAACTCTCAAGAGGCTGTGGAGGTAACCTGTCACGTGAATGGGAAAAAATCGATACAGTGCGTTAGTGAAAAGTTTTTGAGCATATCGATTGATCCAGCCGTTCTGTTAGCTGGAGTTAATCTAAGGTAAGTTAAAAATTTTATTGTTATTGCATAAATCGATACACATAGAAGTTATATTCAAAAAAAAACATATTAAAACAAGAAAGATTGATATTCAAATCAAGTTGGGTACTTTATTTTGAAGGTTCATTTATACCATTTATGTATGAAAAATAATATCGCTTAAATGTTCACCACGACTAGATTTACAGACGTCCACGCGATGGTCGAAATTTTCAATGACATTTTGCAACATGGTCGGTTCTATGGCATTTATCTCGGCAATGATGTTGTTTTTGAGTTCTTTGAGGGTGGCTGGTTTGTTGACGTAGACTTTGCTTTTCAAATATCCCCATAAAAAGAAGTCCAAAGGAGTCAAATTGCACGATCTTGGTGGCCATGGCACATTTCCTCTGCGCGAAATCACGCGATCACCGAAGAAGGACTGCAATCGATGGATATTGACGTTGGTTGTGTGGCATGTTGCACAGTCTTGTTGGAAATAAACATCGTCCATATCCATTCCTTCAAGTTGCGGCAAAAAATAGTCCTCTATCATCACGTGATATCGCTCAGAATTGACGGTAACGGCGTCCCCGGCCGCATTTTCGAAAAAGTAAGGTCCGATGATGCCTTTTGACCACAATGCACACCACACAGTCACTTTTAGAGGATGCATCGGCTGCTCTTGATACTCACGGGGATTTTCGTTCGCCCAGATGCGGCAGTTTTGCTTGTTTACCGTCCCATTCAAAGTGAAATGCGCTTCGTCGCTGAACATGATTTTTGATGAAAAATTGGCATCAATTTGGCGGTGTTCAAGGAGCCAATCTGAGAACGTTCGGCGCGAAAAATGGTCGGCCCGACGCAGCTCTTGCGTCAATTGGATCTTGTAGGCGTGTACATTCAAATCCTTGTGGAGAATGCGGAGCAAACTGGTTTTCGAAATGCCCAATTCTTGGGATCGACGCGTTGTTGATTGTTTCGGATCGTCTCTCACACTCTCCTTCACAACAGCAATATTTTCCGGTGTGCGAACGCTCCTTGGCCGGCCAGAGCCTGGCAGATTTGCCACAGAACCTGTTGCCCCGAATTTACGCACCAGACGACCGATGGTTGTTTCGTTTGGGCGGTTGTTGCGACCGAAATGTTCACGAAGCGCGCGAAACGTGTTTTTTATTTTTGCACCATTTTTGTAGTGCTCTTGAATAACTTTAATGCGGTCTTCAATCGAATACGACTCCATAGCGATCAATGGTAAACATTCAACTAACAAAATGACATGTCGGTGACAGAAAACAAAGATGGCGTCTATGTCAAATTCACGTTTACTTTCCTGCGTCCCTATTGGACAACCCTTATAACGAACAAATGAAATAGCTCAAGTCAGCCAAACAGGCCCTTATACAATTAGTACACCCTCCGTAGTCCCCATCCATTTGATAACGCAATGCTGTAAGTACCGACCATCTGGCATCGTTGCAGTCAAACACGTCATAAGTACCAACCACGATTCTAGAACAGAACATCCCTGCCGGCGATACTGTCAGACCCAAGGCAGGATTCGGCGTATGAAACTCGCCGTTGCGTTGTATCGTCCTAACCGACCACGTGTCGCGTCTATAAATATTGTTCTATAAGGGAAAATGTACGGGAAAATTTGCACTGATGGTGCGTGAAATTACTGGGGTTGGAAGCGTATAAATATACTGCCAATGAGATACAGCTTTCCCCTACAACCCTTAACCGCTAATTTTCAACCCGTACACACAGTTACTAAACTCCATAAATTTTATCCATTCAAAATGAAAATATTGTAAGAGTTAACCGAAGATGATTTCGATGGGCGAGTTGAGCATTGTAAACAAATGACTGCATCGATTAACGATTCATGTAAAGATTATCTGCTTCAGTGCTGCACATTTTATCTAAATAGATTTGTTAATAACCATAAATGCAGGTATTGGAGCAATGAAAATCCTCATGCTTTTGTAGAAGGATACCCAGTACCCCCAAAAAATTATTATGGGCAGGCAGTTTAGGAAACAAAGTGATCGGGCCATTGATTACACTGGACAACAAATTTTAGTTTTTTAATTGTATCTTGTGGGAAAAGAGCACTTCTTTGTTAATTTTGGGGCGCTGAATCCAAAAATGACAATAAAATAAAAAAATTAGTTGCGGTTTAGAAAAAAACTTTTTATTTTTAAGGATATATTAAAAAAAGTAACAAGATTCATATACTTATAAGAATCACTATATGCGCTGTCTTTTTGCTGTTCTTTTATGGATCGTTTCTGGAGCATCTCTACCAAGAGTCCAACAGTAGTCTGCAAGCATGGAAGGATTCCACTTTCCATGGTACCTTTTTTCCATTGTTGAAATATCCTGATGAAAACGTTCGCCGTGCTCATCACTTACGGCTCCGCAATTGTCAGGAAAAAAGTCCAGGTGTGAGTGTAGGAAATGTATCTTAAGAGACATGTTACAGCCCATCTTTTGATACAATGACAGCATATTTTTGACAAGGGTTTTATAGTTGTCAGCTTTTCTATTTCCCAAGAAATTAGTGACCACCAGACGGAAATCATTCCAAGCAGTTTTTTCAATACCTGTTAAAGTGTTTTCAAACTGTGTATCTTTCAAAATATTTCGAATCTGTGGCCCAACAAAAATACCTTCTTTAACCTTTGCCTCACTTAGTCTTGGAAATTTCTGACGCAGGTATTGAAAAGCTGACCCATCTCTATCTGTCTTGACAAAGTTTTTCATTAGGCCCAACTTGATATGCAGTGGTGGTAATAAATTTTTTTTCGAATCTACTAATGGCATATGCTGTACATTTTTTTGACCTGGCTCTAGGAATTGACGAACAGGCCAGTTTTGTCTGGTGTAATGAAGTGCCTTTGCCCGTCTGTCCCATTCACACAAAAAACAGCAAAACTTTGTGAAGCCTAGTTGCAGCCCAAGTAAAAGTGCAACAACTTTCAAATCGCCACAAATATGCCATTGGTGCTCATCGTATTTTATGCATGTCAATAGGTACTTCATATTGTCATATGATTCTTTCATGTGAACTGCATACCCTACAGGAAGACATGGTAAAATATTTCCAATATGCAGTAACACTGCCTTTAAACTCAATGTTGAACTGTCTATAAACAATCTCCATTCTTCTGGGTTATAGTTTATATTTAAAGCCGCCAGTAAGCCGTTAATGTTACTGCAGAAAACCAAGTTATTCTCCATATTGAAAAATGGTTCTAAGTCTTTGTGGCGTTTACGAAAAACACATACCCAAACATCGTCTTCTAACAAGTTCCACTGCTGCAGTCTTGATCCAAGTAACTCTGCCTTACATTTTGGAAGTTCTAAATCTCTTACAAGATCATTTAATTTTGACTGTGTTATTTTGTGCGGTTGGTGGCATGTCGTGCTCGGTATAAAATCAGGATCTCTTGACGTTGATGGCATACCTTCTTCCTGACGAATCACTCGATCGCCATGATCTGATTCGTTTTCTGATTCGCAAGTGTAGGATTCTGGGGGTTTTGGAATAGGATTTTCGTCACTATGAGGCACAGGTCTCATCGCAGATGGTATGTTTGGGTAGTTAATAACCGATTTTTTTTCCTTGGACATACCTGTGGCTTGTCCAACACAAGGTACCATGCAAAAGTAACAATCATTAATATGGTTTGTAGGCTCTCTCCAAACCATTGGGACAGCAAAGCGCATAGACCGTTTTTTGCCATTTAACCAGCTCCTCAGACTTGAAGCACATGTATTACAGCAGATGTGGGGTGCCCACTGTTTGTCTTGATCACCTAGTTTACAACCGAAATAAAGCTGATATGCCTTTGTTATTAGTGGAGTAATAGACCGTCTCTGAGACGCAAAAGTCACATCACCACACACGTAACAAAACTGATCTGGATTGTTTATACACTTTCGAGACATCTTGCATGAACGCTGTCAGCCAACTGAGGAAAAAATGGCTAATATAAAACAATATAATGTACACGTATGTATAACGTAACTTACAATCATGCCGATTACATCATCTTTCCTTGCCGAATATAAAAATGTAGCACGTGCATTCATGTGAATTACAGTATATTAACACTGTCACAGCAGGAACACATATAATGACCATATCTCTAAAACTTGAACTAATATTGAAAAAATAAGTTTCATTCCGGTTTTAGCACATTAAAAATAGTAATATTTTGTTAATTTTATTTAGGATATTTTTTGGCTGTTGATCAGTGTTATTTATTAATGGTAGTTTGAATGTATATGTTGGAAAACGAAATCAATCCATTTATCACTGAAACCATTGAAGAGGATGAAAACCCTATACTTGATGAGGCTGAAATATATTTCCAGCAAAACGGCGCTCCTCCTCACTATGTTCTTCCGGTTCGGCAACGGCTAGGCGACGAGTTTCCAGATAAATGGATAGGGCGAAGAGGACCTATAGAATGGCCTGCTAGATCTCCTGATTTGACGCCATTAGACTTTTTTCTATGGGACCATTTGAAATCTATTGTGTTTACTCTCCAACCTGAAAGTTTGGATGAACTTCACCAACGCATCATCGAAAGCCGCCGTGATATCCCACAACATGTTTTTGAAAATGTCCGTCACATCGAACATTTTGAACACTTATTGAAATAAAAAGCGATATTTTCGTATGTTTTTGTACTATATCTGAACAAATTAAAATAAATAAAGATTTTTCTAATTTACTTGAAAACGAATCGACCAATCTTAAAAAATCAAACTTCAAAATAAACAACTTCTAAAAACCTCTTAAACAAGCTATTACGCAATACCTCTTGTCATTTATAAGTTTTAAGGGGACGACCTTGAATGGCAGAGGGTGAAGTAGTTTTTGGTTAAAAAATTGTCCCGCTTGACGGGTCTCGGCGTTTTTTCTTTTAATCAGTGTCTTTCGATACATACGAGATAGCTAGTTTTCAAATAAATATTTTAGTATGATATCGTCTAGACTCTCTTGATCAAAATTCTCTATAAGTAGAATGTTTGAATATCAATACCTATGGTCTCTTTTGAAGTTGATTAGAAAAGCAATGTAAAGGATGTTTCCTAATTGAATGACAATATTCAAAGGGGTGTTTTTTCGATCCACTTCAAGAAGAAAACTGCATATGAACATACAGGGTGGAGCATCGAAAACGAAACAGACGCATTTACTGGCAGCTCAGTTTTTTTTTTGGAAAAACGCTCAGACCTGTCGATTTTTTTTTCGAGGAGGACACAAGTTTGTCAAAAAATCACGTTAGCACGTGCAGCCCCCTGGGCGGGGGTGACACCAACCCTAAAATCTTGAATGGAAAGGGGGTCGAGTGATACCTTATTTTAAAAAAAAAAATTCCCTTCATAATGATGTAAAATACATGAGCTTCAGTTCAGTAGTTTTGAAGATTCATTGATTTAAAGCTTAAAGTAGACTTTAATAGGTACATCAGATTAGTTTGTGCTACTTTCAGAAGAAATTTAACTAAAAGAATTTACTTAATAAGTAAATGCCTTTTTTTTCTTCACTACGCTCGTGGTTTGTTTATCATTTTGTTGTTGAAAATGTCTATTGGAACGTTTTTTGTTGCAAAAAAGTTATTTCTTGAAAAAAGATAAGAAAATATCTCGTACTTATTTTAAATATTAATTTAGTACATAGTTTGCGATTGATTTGACCAAACTTTGTTGCTAAAATAACTTGTAACGCTTTATTACATAAATTAACCATGGTATATTCCACAGCAGAAAAAGTTGAAATTATCGAAATATTTTTCGGAAATAATCAGTGCGCTAATAGAACAGTAAAAATATTTAATGAGCGACATGAGAACAGTAACATGCATCGAAAATATGTTCTAGAACTTGTAGCTAAATTTCGGGAAGCTGGGTCAGTCACCAATAAAAAACGCAACATTGAAAATCCCATAAGGAACGAAGCAATAGAAGTGGGGGCTTTAGGGCAAGTTTATGTAGATCCTACGTTAAGTACCAGTAAATTGGAGACTGTGTGTGGTGTTAGTTGACGAACTGTCCAACGGATTCTAAAGGCCCATAGTTTTCATCCGTATAAAATTCACCTGGTACAAGAACTTTTGGATTTCTTTATGTGGGGTCATTTAAAAAGCAAAATCTCTATCAGTTCGTTCTTCAATTTTAAATTACTTTCCTGCCAAATGTATTGATCTCCACTAATGATGATGTATTAGTTTTATTTAAGTTTTAAATCTGCAAAACAACTTAACTGAAGCACATTAATTTTATATCATTATAAAGGGAATTGAAGGACCTTTAAAATAAGGTATCACTCGACCCCCCTTTCCATTTAAGATTTTGGGGGTGGTGTCACCCCCACTTAGGGGGCTGCACGTGCTAACGTGATTTTTTTCCAGACTTGTGTCCCCCTCGAAAACAAAATCGACGGGTCTAAGCGTTTTTCAAAAAAAAACTGAGCTGCCAGTAAGTGCCTCTGTTTCGTTTTCGATGCGACACCCTGTATGTCCTGAGCGTTTTAATTTCTGAGATACATGATGGTAAAGTTTTCAATATAAAAAGTTAGTGGCACACTTTCACTAATACGAAACATTACATGTACAGCCCCTTACCTCCTACAACCCTCAAAATAGAAATTTCAAACCCAAAAAAAATCCCTATTTACGCAACCTTGCCCGATTGGGGCATCTAGGTTACATATTCAACGATTCCGTTATTCCAATATGAAGTTCTGAAAAGTACGGAGATATTATCCATGAATCATCGTCTATTTCCAGTGAAAGTTCCCTGCTGCTAGCTCAACACCTCTCCCCGGCGTACATTCGCATCGCGGGACCTTCGACCAAGTTCATCAGGTACTTCGATGAAGGGGTACTACTCCCTACAGACACGAACAGCGTACCCGTCACCCCCGCCACGTGGTTCGCTGTCAACGAATGGCTGCGACTGGCGGGATTGCAACCCGTTTATGGGGTGAACGACGTGGATGAGCTGAAGGGGCTGTGGGACCCTAGGGGAGCCCTATCGCTGTTCGAGCTGTCGGACAAGTTGAACGTCACGGCGTACTGGCAGTTGGGATTCGGTGAGTTGGGGATTTTTTTGGGGGAACACTTAAGGCGGCTCCGACGCAGTGAGTTTCAAGCCGTTTACCAGGGTTCAGCTGCTTCAAAACTGACACTCCATTTTTCAATATTTTTGAATGAAATTCATACAGTATGTTGAGAAGATAATTGCCCAGGGTGCTGTAGGAGCACTTTTTGAAATTTTGTTTTTGCACAAGTTTTATGATGGGTTGAAGTGCGCGCTTTTGTTGTTCAACTTCGCGATTTTTTTAAAAAGAACCTAGTGAAAAAAATGAAAAATTGGCTCTATAGCACCCGGGGGGTTTTGTTTTCAGCACTCTGTGGAAATTTCATCCAAAAATATCAAAAAATAAAGCGTCAATTTCGAAGCGCGCAAACCTCTACGGCTGAATACTGTGTGTTCAGATGTGATCGTGACTTTATTCGATCTAGCCTAGTTTCTGGCGTGATAGCCATAAAACGAGATTTCCATGCAATTAGAATTGACGCTAGTGCTTTGAGTCGAAACTTTCCGTCGATTGATACTGTATGTGTTAGGCTTATTATTAACCATGAGCATTTTGTTATCTTTTCTATTTATATTCCGCCTTCAATTAATTTGGACATGTTTGGTCAGTACCTTGAAGCTTTGGAAATATTTAACAATGCATTCAGTAATTGTAAAATAATTGTTGCTGGTGACTCTAATGTCGCATCATTCAACAGTGACGTTAATGACCAGAAGTCTCAATTAATGAGCAACTTTATTTCGTTTTTAGATTTAACTAATTTTAATAATATTCCAAATATAAATGGTCGAATACTGGATTTAATTTTAGGAAATATCGAAAAGAAGTCCTCAGAGATAATACACCTTCTGTTAAAGAGGACGTTCATCATCCTGCACTGATCATGGAATTCATTACATCCGGATCTTCAACGAAATTCCCATTTGCTAATTCTCCACGGTTTAACTTTCGCAAAGCTAACTTTCCTGAAATGTACGCAGCCTTGCAAGATGTTAATTGGACGGAGGTGATCAGTGCAGTTAATGTTGATGTCGCTTGTACCGCCTTGTATTCAGTTATCAATAACATCTTTGAGGTCCATGTCCCTAAATGTAAAAATAAAATGTTTTCGTATCCCCCATGGTTCACACGTGAAATTATACTTAATATCAAGAAGAAGGACATAGCAAGAAGGAACTGGAAACGTGACGGTACTAAGTTTTCTTATGATCAGTTCAGTAATTTTAGGAAGCTCATTAAGAACCAGATCAGTGTTTCTGGTCATTTGCCCAGATCAAAACACAGCAATCTAGAATCCCCCAAGGATGACGCTTAACGGCAATGTCTGCGATACGCCTCAGGATATAGTGGACGGCTTTGCTACCTTCTTTGCAACAGTTTTTATCCCGTCTGGTCTACTAGGGTCATCTTCTCCAACAAATAATCCTACCGATATCATTTCTTTAAAAAATATAAGTGAAGAAAACGTAATTAGGGCTTCGAAAAGATTAAAGAACAAAATGAGGTCTGGATGTGATGGTATTCCAAGTTTTTTCGTTAAAGATTGCATGCATATACTAGCGAAACCGCTGGCTTCCATATTCAACCTAATTCTAAAATCAGAGACATATCCAAATATCTGGAAGACCTCTAAAATATGTCCTATTCACAAAAGTGGAGATATTTCTGATATTTCCAACTATCACCAAATAGCAATCCTGTGCAATTTCAGCAAGTTGTTTGAGATCATCGCTTATGAAACGGTTTACTGCTCGGTCAGGGGTGCAGTCTCTATTAATCAGCATGGGTTTATGAGAGGCAGATCTACGGTCACCAACTTGGCTATGATTACTCAGTACATTTCTGAAGTACTCGACGGTCAGGGACAAGTTGATGTCATCTACACAGATATTCAGAAGGCGTTTGATCAAGTTGATCATTATGCACTTCTGGATAAGCTTAAAACTGTGGGTATGTCTGATGCAATGCTGTCGCTCATGAATTCATATTTGAGGGATAGAAGGTTATTTGTCGATTATGGTGGTCATAGGTCGAGTTACTATCGGGCCACGTCTGGGGTACCTCAAGGGTCAAATCTAGGTCCATTATTGTTTTTAATATTTATTAATGACTTGTCTTTTGAACTGAAGTGTTTCCATTTGTTTTTCGCTGATGACCTTAAAATCTGCACGTCAGTCAAGACAGTCGAGGATTGCGTCATGTTGAAAGATGACTTAGCTCTAATTTCGTCATGGTGTTCACGAAACTGTCTCAGTCTGAATTTTTCGAAATGTAAAGTTATGACTTATACAAGAAAAGTTAACTATTTAATTTATGATAGTTATAACATCAATGGTCAGGTTATAGACAGATGCACCTCTTATAAAGACCTTGGAGTCATTTTTGATACCAAGCTAACGTTTACTGAGCATATACTCGATATCTCGTCGGCTGCCACTCGACTACTTGGTTTCTGTATAAGAAACTGGAAGGGTTTCTCCAATGTTGATACATTAATGACTTTATTTTTTACTTTTGTCAGGAGCAAGTTGGAGTATGCGACACTGATCTGGTCTCCTATATACCAAAATTCTGTCGTGATCCTTGAGGCCATTCAACGTAAAGCTTTAAAGTATTTTCACCTTAAATGCACAGGTTCTTATCCAGAAAGAGGTTGTGACCATAGTGCCCTATTAGTGTTTTTCAATTTGGATTCACTGTCAACAAGACGAAACATATTTGCTTTGTCGTTTTTGTATGGCCTCATCCACAATAAAATTGACTGTCAAAATTTACTTGAAAAAATATGTTTCCGCGTTTCAAAGCTAGGGAGTCGACAACAAACGGCATTCTATTGTCAAGCTGGCCGTACAAATGTTATGACAAAATCGCCAATTAATCTCATGTGCTGCGTCATGAACAGTGTTACTGAATCGTGTGATATTTACAGTGACAGTTGTGCATCGATTATTAACTGCTATAGATCGTCCAATCTTATTTAGAATGTGTGATACTATAGATTTAAGTCCAAGAACCATGTCTCTTTAATTGTTATTTTTTTCAGCGTTTCCTGTAATTGGGTTTCACCTGTTGGAAATAAATAAATAAAATAAAAAATAAAAAATCGTATTTTGGACGAATTTTGTCTACTGTTTCGTGCTGCCAACCCAAGCGTTGCGGCGCAATGTACGGACCAAGAAAGGACGTATTCAGATAATTTGGTGGCCCTATTTCATATAATATCGCGTAGATAAGTCGTTCTGCAAATAGGTACTCACAATCGCGATCGCTGGTACTCCTCGATTTTAAAGCCGTTTTACTTCCCACGTCATTGGCGAGGAAGTATTGTAATCGCGAAAAATTTCTAAAATGAGATATTATGTTTTTTAAGTCATATGAGATCTACATCACGAAAAACTGTATCTCTCATCAACTTGGAAATAACCGCTGCGATTTTTATGAAATTTCCACACGGGGTTACTAGTATGCCAAAGCTTTGTAGTTTTAGTCCAGTGGCAACGGTGCTATAGGCAAAAAATAAAAAGTAACAATTGCTGAAACTCCGTTTTTGATATTACAGGGGTTCCTTATCATTGACAGACAAAAATTGTACTGCTTAAAAAGTGGGGGTTGGGGGAAGGTGATTCTGAATGTTGCATCTTTGATATCAGTGAAACACGTTCTATTATTAAAAGAGTTCCATTTGGAAATAATAAAAAATGAAACGTAAGTTGTAAAGTGCAAATTGGTTTTTGGGCGAAATTCGTCTACTGTTTCGTCCTGCCAGTCCAAGCGACGCGACGGTGCGTTCCGACTAAGAAAAAATGTATTCAAATAATTTGATATCTTTCCTAAAATAAATTCAAGAACTCAAATTACAATTCGTTTATTCATGTCAGTAAACACAATTGTGTTTAACAAGGGTCATGTGGTACATGGTAACAATTGAATGAGAGTCATAAAAATATCTTATGCCGTCAAAATAAGAGGAAACAGTTAGGTAGTTTTTGCAAAGCAATAAACAGGTAGGCTTATACCTGGATTAAGTACATTTCTTATCTACTGTAATAGGTAGATGGAGATCAATAAACAAACCACAAGACTGAACTGCGGTGTCCAATAAGTAAATACCATCATTTACGTATGTATTTTGAACTGTTATTTTAGCTAATAAGCTAATGTGTAATAACACGGCTGATTTAGAACCTTTTTTGCAAGACACAACGATTTTTTAAAGTTTCACATCTATTTTCCTTATTACTATACAGTGTATGTTACATTCTTATAATTTAGAGTATAATTTTGTGAAAAAAGCCAAAAAAAGCGTATAAATCAGTATTCCATTCTAGAGTATTACCACCAAAAATGCAACTTTTAAGTTCTATAAAATATCAAGCAGAGAGTTCCTTATAGAAAAAAATGATATTTTAGTGCAAGTTACATCCTAATCTTTCATTTCAAAGTAAGAAATGAAGTGACAAATTGGTTAAGGCTTTCGCGGCCAGTTGATAAACTGCTGTCTTGATTCGGGTCTAAAGGCCGTAGTCTACATCAGGAAGAAATTCCAACCGACGACGGGCCTTTAGACCCGAATCAAGACAGCAGTTTAAGAAATGAACTATTTGCGATATGCTTTAAAGTATAGTCTTACCGAGTTCGAGAAGAGTGAAAACCGCCCCCACCCCCACATAAATTATATCAGAATTTTTTTCGCAACTGTCCCAACGGTTCTGATTTTTTTTATTTAAAAGATCCTTTTATTTACTTCGAAGTTGGAATCGACCAGTTTCTCGGAGTCGGCGTTCTATGCTTGCAAAGGTCTGACGATTCGGAATTTGTCGATATCGATATCTCTTTACATGCACGCGAACATTTTTTCTGCATTTGCCTCCTGAAGTACTAACAACACATCAGTCTGTTCGTCAAAAGAATATGCCATGTTCAAAAGACAAACAAGCAACAACAACTTGACCAAAAATAATCTCAAACGTTAGTTAATTTAAAATGCATGA